TACGCAGTAGCTGAGAAAAACCAATTAGTTTTGCACTGGCGAGAAATAATGCAGAATTCCTCATGTCTTTTACAAACTGGCTCTCAATATATATTGTCATGTATCTTCATGACCCAAATATACGTAGGAAGAGTACGACAACAAAATGTATGTTGGAAGTGTAATAAAGGAACTACTGCAGTAAAGTTACTATATTTTATTAGTAGAAGAAAACAATTAAAATGATATCCAGGTAGTAAGTTAGGAACCAAATGTCATAGCTGTCTCTTTTGCTGCCAAAATATGTGTACTCTGTTCCTAACAGCGTCTTTCCCCAAGGAAAAATAAATGTATCTAAGAAATACTTGTTAGCAATGCAATTACAGGCTTAATTCCCCAACCAACTTCAGACATCATAAAAACAAAAACAAGCAGAAGCCCTTTGCAATAGCAATGAAAAAGAGACAGAAAAACACTGAGTGTTCAGAGAAAGATAATAATATATTTTTATAACAAAAGCTGACACAGTCTTTGACAATAACATTTGAGAAGTCATTAGCATTTGGTTTTCAGCTGTACTGTCTTTTTCTTTTAAGCTACAGCCTAGAATGAAAAACTCATTCTAAGGCTAGACCCTTGCTATTCCTGAACAGGTCTTCTGGGACCCTCAGACACCAAAGTAGCTTGCCAGGCTCTCAGAAAAGCAAAGCAGCTGTATGAAAATGAAATTTCTTGACATTACTTACTCCTGAAGGTCTAGTCCCTCCAAGGAGCTTAATGAGAGCTGTGTTATTTGGACAATGTGGATTCAACCGTGAGACCCAAGATGCTGGGAAGCTAATTCAGAGCGCTTCCAAAATGTTGTCCCTAAGAAAGTAAGATTAAATGAAGATTTAAATGAAAAAAAAAAGTGTAAAAAGTGCTAAACCTTATTTTTCCTGTGACCATACAGATTAGACTCATATTCATATCACACCTTGGAGGAAGAAAATCTTCAAGAGGCCTGACACAGGCCATATGAAGTTTGTAGCCGTGCAAAGGCTCGTGTATGTGGTGTCCTTCAGGACTCCCATGCTGTGGTGTGCATTCATCCCACATCTCCTCATGCACTCACCAGTGTGCTCCTTGCCCAGCCCGGGCACCCTGGTCTCTCCTGCTTTCCATAGCCAGGTCTTGAGCTCCTCCAGAGGTACTTGTCTTGGGAGGGGCTGTCTCACACCATTGTCTTCACTAGAAGAAATGCTGAGCTTGGTCTTTCCACTACCTGAAGGGGGCCTGCAAGAAGGCTGAGGCAGGACTTTCTACAAAGCCGTGTAGTGATCAGATGAGGGGTAATGGGTGGAAGCTGGAAGAGCGAAGGTTTAGACTGGATCTAAGGAAGAAGTTCTTCACCCTGAGGGTGGTGAGGCCCTGGAACAGGTTGCCCAGGGAGGTTGTGGATGCTCCATCCCTGGCAGTGTTCAAGGCCAGGCTGGATGGAGCCTTGAGCAGCCTGATCTAGTGGGAGGTGTCCCTGCCATGGCAGGGGGGATGGAACTAGATGATCTCTGATGTCCCTTCCAACCCAGATCGTACTACTAGGATACTACGATTTCCCCACTTGGGGAGTAGGTGTCTGATATACTTGGCCTGAGGCTCCAGCCTCTGTAGAAGAGTTGATTTCATAGCAGCATAGACTTTTACTGTTGGAGGCAGTGGTGTACACCACAAAATGGCATGTTCCTGCTGGATCACCACTCCCAATGCAAATTTGAATTCCTTTGACAAAGGCCTGAAAAGTAAAAGGTTTTTTTCTCCCCAAATACCCTGTGTAAGTTGAAATATCCATCTAAGTCACTGCAGGGGCCTTCCGCCTCTCAGTGGAGGCATAGTCAGTTGCTATCAAAAGTCTCCGTTCTTTTGAAACATTGGCATCAAACCCAAGATAAAAATACTGAAGTTTAAAAATTCAGTATTTTAAATATTGAACATTAACACCCTTTTAATGATTTTTAAATTGGCTTTAAATCAGGGTAGATATTTTCCTTTTGACAGTCACTTACAAAAGGTTACTGCATTACTAGTTTCACAAGAAAAGGGAAGCACTTTTTCTCTCAATTTGTCTTGCCTCCAGCCTTGAATCCCAAAAAGACAGATGGCTGGAGAGGTTCCAGTCAAAGGCACTGGGTGAAAAAGCACTATAAATGCAAAACTGTAATAATTAATTCACAGAAACCACAAATGCCTGAATCTCAAATTTCAGGCAATGCAGTACACAGCTACATCGAGTTGATTGCAAAGAAAAGTGGAGGACTTTGCAGATGATCTCTAAGACATTTCATGCCTGATAAAATTGACCAACTTCACTGGCATTTTTGATTAATAGATGCACCAAATTTCCCTCTGTACATTTAAGCTTCAGTATCCACTCCAATAATGGCAGATGAGAGTTGGTTGGGGTTTTTTTTCATATTTAAAGTGTGGCTGATTAAAGTTGAAATGAGATCAAGGGTATGTTTTTTTTAGTGGTGGAGATTTTGGATAATAATGATGAGGAGCTTTCATTTGCAAAAGCCAATGTGATGCCTGACATGTCTGCACTGGATGAAAATCTTGAGAAATGTCCTTGACAGGGGTCATTAGAAACAGTATGATTGGATATGTGACATTTTTGATGTAGACTCAGAAACAAACTGCATTATTACTGAAAGCCAAAGATGAATTTATTAAGATGGCCTGAATAGTTTCTCTGCAGCAGAAATTCCACAGACAGCTGCTGTCTCTCTTTTAATGAGTTTCAGAGTTTGTGTAAGGAGGAAACCCAAGTCTTTGTGGAAAGCTCTGAAGAGACCTCTTTCCATCCTGCCTCACAGCATGTTTCCTGCGAAGCACAACCATCAGCACTGACAACAATAAACACAAAATAAAGGTCTAGATTAAATGCTGGGAATGATCTAGGACTTTTTTTTGCTGGTGTGCACCTGAGGCTCAATACCCTTTTGCAAAATGATGGAAACTGATCCATCCCACTAACAAAAGTTACAGGCTTCCACTGATTTGAAACAGAAACAGGCTTTATCTGTAATATTCTGAGGTGGATTTTGAATTTTCTTTAAATTGAGGGTGCTTGGGCCTAATATTCTGCCTTAGCACCTTAGAAAGACTGAGATCCACTGTAAATCAGGTCCCAGGCCAGGTTTATTTTTCAGGCATCCCCAGTCTGGGACAACATGTTGATATTGGTAACTTCTAAAGGAAAGATGAGTTGAGAAGCACAGAGGGATACAGTAAGAATGGCAGTATTTATGGGCCCACAGAAGACTTTGTTGGGTATGAATTTTATTGTATTGTAAGTGTATTGTAACTGGTATAGCTTGTGTCAGGCTCCAGGATGCAGAGCTGGAAAGGCTATCTGCTTTGTCCTTCCTTCCTCCCTCTTGGCAGCAGAATAAAATCACTGCTTAATGGCATTTCTAGGATAGTAAGTAACGTGAAACTTCTATTTTGTAAGATTTCTACAAATGCCTTGAGTCCAAACTATTCACCCTTGGACCTGATTATCTTCTCAAGCCAGCCTTGCCAGCCATCCACATTAAGTCTAAAGTCCAGTAAGTGGCTGATACTTAAAAAAAAAATCGCATTAAACAGCAGCATTTTAATGTGAAGAAGAAGCTAGGTAGTCCTAGGAATGAGTCAAAAATATGATTTCTTCCACAAAAGGGGCTGATAAGGATGTGTAGGTGGATATAAGGCACCTGGGAAAAGGCTCTTGAGAAAAGGACTTCAGAGAGGCAGAGGTGAGAGATCATTGTTTAAAAAACCCCATGTATTTCTGCTGCTTGCTAGAGCCTGTTCAGAATGGTCTTCGAGATACCATCAGCTCGCTAGCTCACAGTTTCCAGGGAAGTGTTTGCACAGCTGACATGTGGGAGTTGACATGTGGGAGGCAACATGTGGATCTCTGATGGCATAAACCCAATTCTTTGCATTTATATAGTGTATAAATGTTTCTCCCTGCACCCATGAATCTCAGACAGAGTATGTGTTCTGTAAGCTCGGGGAAGGGAGGGAAGATCCTGTCTCATCATATATGGATTAGGCTACCTATGGTAACAAAAAGGCTGCAGAATTTACATGCAGCACCCAGCGTTTACTCACTGCCTATTTCTAGTCCCTTCTGCAAAGGCAGTGGACAAGTAGGGATCTCAATCACAGTCTGCTTCTGCTGAGAAAATGGTGCACAGACAGTGCTTGTGCAAAATTTCCCATTAATGCTGAAGAGTGTGCCTGAGGCCAGAGTTGTGAGAGAGGTGAGGCTGGAGGTCTCCTCCCCTCCAGTAACAGCGGCTGTCGACAGAACTAAAAAACTGAGTAAAGCAGAAATAACAACCCACAGTCCTTCCTGGTGAAATGAAGATTTCAATAACCTTTGTGGCACATGACAATAATAAGCAGCCTCTTCTCTTTCAAACCATTAGGAGAGAACGTGCCAGGGATAGAAATAAGTCTTTAGAGTGATGGCTTAGATTAAAGAGGCTTGTGATGAGCTGGGTGGGAGAAGTGTGCTTTCCTCCCAAGCCGAGGAAGAAGAAAGGCAAACAGTATTTTGACTGTTGCCAGGCAAATTGGACTGTTTCAATCACCTTCACTCTCTTTTCCTATACCTGTGCCCTTTGGTGTGTACACTGCAGTGCCTGACCCCCAGCCAGCGCCTGGAGGAGCACGCACCAAAGAGCATATCACAGTGTCAAATGTGGGAGGAGGGAATGGAAAAAAACAGGGAGGGAGGCCCAAAACCTCCAATCTGGCATGCTCAGCAAGTTGCTGGTTGTCATGTTAGTGATGCCACCAGTACTAGGAAAGCAGCTTTCTCTCACAGTGGGTTTGTTGAGAAGATTATTAAAACCTTTTCATTTAGAAATATTTGGCAGAGACTTCTGCATAAGTCAGGAGGATGCTTTTGCCCACATCTGCTTCCAACAGAGCAAAGAGAGTTTAAGGGGGAAAAAAAGCAAAACCAAAAAACCCCACCAACTTTCCTCATGGCTTCCAAAAGGGGTCTTGAAAGAGCTTGCCTTGTGAGTGAGAGGGACACCAAGAAGTATTCCTTGAGCCTAGACAGGTAACACAACTCTCTGTTTCCTTCACTGTCATTGCTTTGTCACTGAGAGCAATCACCGTGATCACTGATCTGCTGACGCGCTGCAGAAATGAAAGTATGGGGAGTTTCACAGTGTGTGCAGGGAACATCTTTCGCTTCTTTCAAAATGTTTTGTTTGATTTTTTCCTTTCTGAACTTTCTCATTAAATGTTCGATGCATTTACTAGACAGCGGCCTGATGTGTCTGCATCTGTGATGGATTGAACCAATCTACTACTAGAGCAAGTGTCTCCTGCTACGTATTTTGTAAGCTTAGTAGATTTATTGTAGGATGCAAAACTTCATGGATTATGCTGCAGTTTTAAGCTGAATTATAATAGTGCTATCAACATCATATTTGATTCAAGACTCCTTCATGCTTGAATGTCTAAATTATCTACTTGGTCTGGAAGGAATGCAATGTTGGTAAGGACTTGATCCTGCAAAATATTGTGGATGGTCTATCAGACTTGGAGCTGATGTACCCCTTGTGTTCCAGAGGTCCTGTAAGTAAATGTTTGCTTGAGTGAGGAAAGACCCTGTGAAAACATATGATATGCTTTAGCTTGCATTAAAAAATGAGTGTAAATGTCTGTCACAAAAGAGTTTTGCAGTTGAACTTATTTTCAAAAGAAAATAGCTGCTCAGTTACAGCTTAGCACCTCTTGACATTTCCATTATCTCATTGGTTTTCGAGTTATTTATTGCTTGGCTCTCTTTAAATGCGTGGGACAGAAACTTGGTGTAAACACTGTCAGTTCAAATAGAAATCTGTCTCTCCATGTTCGTATACTGGGGTTGCTGCCATTGTATTTCAATTGCTTGAGTGTCTAAGTTATTATTTAACTATTATTACATGGCTCCATAAGTATATATGGCACTGTCCAAAATGAGTTTTGTGGTAATATTTATATTTTTAAAAGATTCCATATGATTCCGCAATTCATTTTAGTTACTGAAGACTCTTAGAGCTTTTTTGACAGCTTGCAGTTTCATGGGCACAGCTTCAGTGCCTGAGGTCTTTAGGCCCCTTGCCACCTCTAGACACAAGGACATCTCTGGGTGAACCCTTTACATAGTGAGGGGAAGGGTGCTGTGAGACAGGGTCAGTTGTTAGGCTGTGAGGAAACCCTTATTTTCCCTGGGTGACCAGGAAGAGGAAATATCCCAAGTGCAAAGAGGGGTAGGATGCACACTGGGGGCAAGAATCCCTGGCAGCTGATCTCCCAGCTGAGAGCTTCTGGAGGAGTCGGTTTCTTTCTGACAATTATTTCTTAATTTAGGATTTAAGTTAGTTGGGGTGATTTGCTGAAACGGTGTCAGTCATTGAGCTGAATGCTGCAGATACATCCAACAGTCCCTGAGCTCCAGGGCTGGTCCCAGGAGGGTCCATAGCAGAGGTCCAGAGACTGTTGAGTTCTGGCAGTGGTAACACATTTCTCCAGAAGCAGCACTTGTCATCCAGGCATGGGCTTTTGTGCTGCACCTCCTCCTGGCTTTTCTTTCCAGGTGAAATATCAGCAGCTGCACAAGTTAATTACTCCATCCTGGTAATAGCCAGAATGGGGGAACCTGAGAGATGTGATCTCCCTCCTATTTGGAAGAGCTCAGGGGAAGCCCTCGCCCTGCTCCCCTCCCCAGTCCAGCCACCCGGGATGCTGGCCTGGGGGCTGGGGCCAGGGTGGTGGGGGATGCAGCCTGCTGGGCTCAGGCTTGCGCAGACTGGCTGCATGCACAGCTTCAGGTGTCTTAAGCCGATCAGTAGCAATAAGCTCATCTTAGCCTTTGATATAAATTACCACATTTTTCCATTCCCTGCATGTAGGCTTAATGAACAAGCTCTAATACTTTCAACAGAATTTATTTTGCACACAGACTTCTTATTTCTTTGTCGTCCCCAGCCTCTTTCCTTTTAATAAATGCCATTATTACAACACACAGGGAACAAAACTGGTTTTAGCTTACCCGTGCGAGTAGGAAGTCTGAATATAGACTCCGCTCCCTGCACGCAAGGCTGTGGAGGAGAGTGTTTTGTACATGCCAAGAGGGGCTGTAGTCACTAGTAGGTTTGGATGCATTGACATCTCCCATGCCAGATTTGAAATGCTTACAAAGGCGTGGGATTTAACTGAGTTCTCTGAAAATCAGGTCAGCTGTAGGCTTGTAGGATAATTCAGGCTGGAAGAGACCTCAGGAGGTCTCTGGTCCAACCTCCTGCTCAAAGCGGAGTCAGCCAAGAGATCAAACAAGGTTGCTCAGGACTTTATCCAGCCTAGTCTTGAAAAAATTTCTCAGAATGAAGACTGCATGACCCATCTGGGCGATCTGCTCCAATACTCCAATTATCCTCACTGTCATTTTTTTTCCCCTTATATTCAGTCTGAACCTCTCTTGTTTCAATTTATGACCATCGTCCTCATCCTTCCTCCATGTGCAGCAATAAAGCTCCATCTTCTCAATAACCTCCTCAAAAATATTAGCAGATTTCTGTGAAGTGTCTCCATCTCTTCTCTAGGCTGGATAAGTCCACTTCTCTCAGGGCAAGTGCTCCAGCCCTCAACCATCCTGGTGGCTTCTGCTGAACTTGTGACAGTTTATCGACATTTCTTGTGCTGGCAAATTCCAAAACTGAACACTATAGTCTAGATGTGGTTTCAGAAGTCTGTTCCAGGTGCAGAACTTTACATTTATTCTTGAATGTCATAAGGCTCCTGTTGATTCCTCCTGCAACCTGACTACGGGGTAGCCTTGCACTCCAATCTATCAGCTACACCCCCAGGCTGGCATCATCTGTCAGACTGATCAGGGTGCAATCCACCTCCTTCTCTAGGAAATGGATAAAGAGATTACACAGGACTGCTCCCCAGATAAGACACCACTTCTCACTAGCCTCCAGGAAGAGTATGAACCATAATCGTAACAGAGTGTGAAGCTGAGTACTCAGAATCTCATGTCTTATGTAAAAATATTGTCTGTAAGGTGTATCAAGTAAAATTTATATCATGTCTCTGTAACTTACCTCTGAATTAGGTGTCTAAGATAATTTTCCATGGTCTTTTTACAGTCAGTGGTGGAGGTGGGAGAGGATAGATTCTTCAAATGATTAATCATGTTATTTATTTTTAATTTTTATCAACAATCTAGTGATCAGCATAACTATTTATGAAAAACTAGAGGATGCCTTGCCCAAATTCCTGAAGTTTCCATGAATGAAGATAAGAGAGATGATTTTATTTCTTGTTAACAACAGAATAGTATGATATTGACCAGAAATCTTTAATATCTCACTTCATAAATCAGCAGATTTGCATTAGATCCTACCAGCTGCATTGTGAACCAGATTTTGGGTTGATCCAACATGGACTTCTGGTTTTCTGATCATGTTCTTTAAGTGTCATTATAGTGGGATTTTGAATACCATCACACAAGTGCAGCTCAAGACTTCTAGCCTCAAGCTTTTTAGTCTTATTTTGTCTCTGAGGCAGGAGACAAGAAAAAAAAGTAAGGGGCAATGTTGAAAGCAGGAAAAGTGTGTAAAAACCTCAGAGCTTTTAGTCATGTAAAAATTTTTAGTTCAGGACACTAATGTGACCTGTAGTTATTCCTATCCATCAGAGAAGCCTCAGGCTTATAATTGATTCCTGTCTGCCAGGCTCATACCAGTTGGCAAAAAATTTGGGGTGATGATTTCTTCAGGTAGAGATGGATTTTCTATAATAAACATTTTTCTGCCTTCCTGCAGGCAATATGAAAACTGTTACGGAATCAAAGAGTCCTCATCAAATAAAGGCTTTTCACTCTTTGTGCTTTGCAGAAACCAATGCTTAGGGAAATTTTAGGTGTTTCTTGTGATTTCTGAAGGTGTTTAGCTATGTACCTCGTGATTATCTGTCCTTTGCACTAGCTTGCCAGCTGGACTTAGAAGCACACAGTATTTTAGAGGACTCAGCAAACCCCATTGCACTGCTTTTGCCCTTGTGTTAGCTGACATGAGGACCCCCTAGAAAGGATTGTGTCCACCCAGTACTGGTCTTACACCAGCTCCATTATGCCCACTTCGGTTATGCCCACTTTATCCCAGAAAGAAAATTAGAACTGAGACAGCAAAAGGTATGAAAGAGAAATTAAATAACTAGGACACCAGCTGAGGAAATCAGTGATTCAGAGCTATAACAATCCTATGCAAAATCATGAATGATGTGATGAAGGTAAACAGGGAACTGTCATTCATTATTTCTAACAGTACAAGAACTAATTAAAATATCAGGCAGATACCTTAGGAAAAACAAAGGATGCATTATCTTTACACAAATCATTATTATACTGTGGAAACACTTCCAAGTCAGCCACATTCATGGAAGAAGGATCTGTAAAGGGCTATTAGACACAAGCTCCAATTTAGCCTCCTTCCAGCCTCCAGATTTGTGTGGCCAGGGAGCAGCACTTTTCTAGAAGTGTTCCTCTCTTGTACTTTGTCCTTACATATTCCACTGTGCTCTCAACAGAGTTTGGACACTTGGCTGCATGCACCTTCAGTATAACTCAATGTTAAGGGTTAGAGCTGGACTGGCCACTAAACACTGACAGATGCTCTCTAGACCCTCCCTCTATCCAAAGGGGAAGGGAAAGGCAATAAAGCAGAAAGGCTTATGGATTGGAAAAAAAGAAAACTAAAACAGTTTTAATAAAACAGTAATAGCCCTAATTAAATAATGACTGATATCAAACCTGACTCCCACCCGACAGCAATCCCTACTGGTGCTGCAGAGTAGGGGGCACCGAGGAAGCCTCAGACTCAGTGGCAGAAGTGAACTGGGTACAGGAGCTGGATTCAGGAGCCAAGGATCAGAGTCAAAGGCAGAAGATTGGACAGACTCCTCCTTGGGTGTCAACGATTGAAGAGGAGCCACTGCTGTGCTCTTCTTCTTCAGAAGAAGAAAATTTACTGAAAATGCTTTTATGTTGTACATGGACTAAATAAAATAATCGTAGGACAAATTCACATCTACTAGACATCTAAATGTAGGCAAATACATAAATATTTGCCTTTGTTTTGTGCCCATAGTAAGGAAAAGTAAAATCCGCACAGCCAGGCTATAAGCAGGGTCGTAAATGACTTGGAAATATTCAAGACTGGTACATGAGTTGAAATTGGAGTGGTGCCAGCATAAGAGAGGTGGCTATGGCTTTGATAAATTTTTCTCTGAAAGCAGTTCCATTATCCTTTCAGGCATGGAAAAAATTACTATTTTCCCTTGTGGAGGAGATGATCTCCTGTGGGAAGTGCAGTGATTTTGCATTTTGCTCTTTTGACTAGGGATCTCATAATGGTCTAGGAGGATGGCAATTATTCCTGTCAGCCTGCAGATCAAGGCACCAACAGATCAAGTGAAAACAAACAAAAGGAAGTTGTAATCAAAAGCTCTTGCTAATGATTTGTGTGGAATCTGCAATATGTATTAATACTTTCTACTTCCCCCCTTCTGTGCATGACTCAGTAGGAGCCTTTCTGTGACATTCCCCTTACTATCTTTTCTACAAAGGAAAGAGAATCTGAAATGGAGAAAAGATTATTTTTTAATCTGGGCCTCTGCTTGCAGTGTGCTGGCGCAGAGATCTGATGCTTAAAGGCTGCATCTTGCTCTAACACACTCAGAAGGGGTTTATGGTTTGACAGACCTGATCTCTGAACCTTAAGCTTTTGATTCATGCATTTATAAAACTGTCTCTTAGATTCTTTTAATTAGTGGCAGGCTGCTCTTGGAAATAAAATAATAATGGTTACGCAAGGGAGCTGGCAGGAGACGTCCTAACTCGTCAGGATGGATGCTGGTCTGTGAGTTCAGAGGGAGCAGCGAATGCTCACCACCTCTGACAACCCGGCCACTTTTATTTAGGTACCCTTCAGGCAGAAAAATGTGACTTTTGTGGGTTTATGCTGTCTCTGTTTGCTTTTGCATCCGTCCAACAGGATCTGTGGGCAGTGCTTTCCTACCCCTCAGCGGTACTCTGAGGTTCTGTTAGCTCAGGGAGAGACCTGAAGATTAAAAAAGGCAGGGGAATCTCAAAGCGACCTATTTTGTTAACAGCAAGGAAAGGATTTGGTGGCTCAGAAATCTGCAGGGGTAATTTTGGCATCCCTGCCCTGACAAGCTGTTGAGCTGATCATGACTCATGTTGTTAAGATGATTTTAACATTCAATGCCAGCTAATGAAAATTGAGTTAAAGGAAAATTAATTTTACATGCAAAGTATACAAATGCATTGGAAGTTCACTCCAGAGAGGGAACATGAGAAATAAAAACTTGCATGCCCTGATCTCCAGGGGAAAGTGGGACAACTACAATGTTTTATTCAGCCCTCTGAAAGGAATAATTTTGTAGCACCTTATAATTCATCAGGAAATTGTTGTACATAAGTGACACGGTGCACATGAGGAGCCTCATAAAGGTAAAACTAAAGGACTGGAGAAGGACCAGCTAGCAGGGACCCCGGCTGCCAGAGGGACAGCCCATTCCCCAGACAGCCCAGCTCCCACTTATTTGTTGTGGTGGGGAAAATAAATGAAATCACTGATAAAAGGACTAAGAAAATTCAGTTTCCAGGCATGAGGCATTAAATCTTCCACACAAGCTCCTCAAGTACAGGGGGAACCGGTTGCCACCTGAGCAAACAGAGACCACATGCTAACCTGGCTGGGAAACAGGCTGACTCAGGGGAACATGTTGCATCCTTGGAACAGCTCAATAATATTTACCAAATCCACACTGACTCTCTGCAGTTGCAGGGCTTGGCTGCCAAGGTGGGTCAGCTCTTTTCCTTTTGCTGGTACCTCCACGGTGCTGATGGGCACAGCGAGGGGCTGGGGCACCCGCTGCTCTTGCCTCTCGCCTATCAATGGGGTGGGAGCTGTGGGGCTCCTGGCAGGTCTTTGGACATGCTGAGCAGCTTCAGTTCCCTTAGGCTGCCCAAAAAGGAAGCTGGAAAAAGTTTGTGTTTTCAGTGATTCCTTATTTTTTCTAGACATCAACTACAGCAGTTTGGCAGCCAGTGGCATGACTTCTTTGCAGATTTTATGCATCTTGATACCTCTATAAATAGTATAGACACGCTACAGAAAGTCACCAAGATGCATGTACTTCCCAGAGCACAGGTCTCCTTCATGCAGCTGAAGAAACAATTCTTCCTAGTCCCAAAGGAAAGTCCTTAGTCAGAATGGGGAAGAGGCTGTTATTATTGGGGGCAGCTAAGTCCAGCCCCACATCATGCTCCCAAGGTAATTTCAGACTTGGAAACAGCAATGGAGTATATGGAGAGACAGATAGAATTTTTTTTCCTGGGACAGAGTTTAGGATGTTTGTGGTTTTTTTTGGCTTTTCTCAGTTGAGAGATAAGGAGGAAGGAGCATTTTTCTTATCAAGTTACCTTGGGGCCTTCCCTGGAAGAGTCCCTGGGCTGCTCTGGTGTTAACAACCAGATGTCAGTCATCTAGAAGTTCCTGTGGTCGCAATGCCATGTGCTCAACCCTTATTTCCCCTATTTCCTGTGCAGGAGCTCTGAGAAAGACAGCACTGAGAGTTTGTGGCAAAGCAGATTTGTCTGGGAAATTGCCTTGTGATGGAGCAATGCTCAAAGAGCAACTTTTGTTAAACTTCTCGCCTTTCTATGAAGTCCGTAGCACAAAGGGGTCAGAATACTATGAAAAATTGATTTTTTTGATTTTTTAAGTGCCTTTAAAACTCTTAGGTTCATATTTTCTGTGCTCAGACTCTGCTGGAAGATCGACAGTTTTCGTACATATGTGGAAACCTGGCATAAAGTAGTTCTGCATGCAAAGAGAGGAAAGTTATACTTAACTATATTGAAAAAAAGAAGGTTTATTATTTTAAGAGTCTTCCTGACAAAGCTGTTGGGAATAAAACCATGAATTTTTCCATAGAATTGCCTTGATGCTATGTTGAATTGGGTTACTATTTGAGATAGGTGTAACTTTTTTAAAATCGTATGGTGTGTATAAAATACACAGCCTAGGAAAGTCACTCTGTGCTTCATACACTGCTAAATGATGTAGGAGAGCCCAAGGAGCTGGGAAACAGCCAGAGCAGTCATTTCATGTGCAGCTCTCTCCCACAGAGCCCTACTTCTGCAGGCAAGCCTGCTCCGCTGTTCCCAATGCTGCTTTTATGCTCTGAAAACATTAATTACATAGTTTCTGGGGCTGCAGGGCTAGATGCCCAAATTACGAGGGGTGGTTTTTTTAACCTTCTGTTCCTTTCAATCCCAAAGGATGAGCTGGCATCAGAAGAATTTAAATGAAGAGAGGCAGCAGCAGGAAGCAGAAGTTCCTGAAGTTACTGAAGCTAATCCAGCATATCACTGTCATGGCTACTCCCAAGCCTATGAGAACAGAAAGCGGGAGCAGCATCAAGCCAGGAGGAAGCTCTGTGTAGCATCAGTAATTTGCATCTTCTTCATGATTGCTGAGATTACAGGGGAGTATGTTTGCCCAAAAAGAGCTGGGTTCAGTGCCCAGCAGAGCTGTTTTCATGCCCCTTTGTACACACTCTGACTGCAGGGACCCATGATGCACAGAGGTGAATTCACAAAAGCATCATGTCACAAAAGGTTTCTAACAAATAGGGTTACTTTTTTTGGAAAAGTTTGAGAGATTTTGCATGTTTACTCAGGCCAATGAGACCTCAGCACTGATGAAGGCTGCTAGCAGCAGGATCTGCTATCAAATGCAGCAGTCTTTACAAAATCCAGGGAAATCCAGGGCTGGATTAACCATCTGCTTTTCTTCAGTTAAGTCAATGTATTTATACCAGGGCACATTTTTCTTTTAAATTAGCCTGATAGTGTGTCTCTGTATCAATGGAAGATTATTCCTCTAACTAGCTTTCACTTCTGGACCCATCCTACAATATTTGGCTCAGTTATAGAGCACTAGCTTTCCTTTTGTCCCACTGATCTGCTCTCTGTATGGCTTCTGTTATACTTACACCCACCTGATAGTTCCTGGCTCCTTAATTTCCCCTTCTTTGCAGTGAGGGGAGGTAAAGTAAGGCATGAGGAATCCCACAGTTTTTTGCTGCATGTGCTCCAGGGAATGTAACAAAAACAGCCAGGGAGGCCTCTGAAACTTGTGTTTTCCCAGCTTCAGCATCTCTGGAGCCCCGTGAAAATGAAATAGAAAGGCTTTGTCTACCCCACAGGTGAGAAGTGGAGGCACTGAAAGAGCCGCCGAATTTCTGCCTTCTCCCTTGGCTGCCAAACCCAGCAGGGACTTCTCCAGCTTTTGCCTCCCACACGCTCCATCTGCACGAAGCCCCGTTGTTTGTGGGTCACGTGCATTTCCCCCGTGAACACCGGTGCATACCACTAATCTCCATGCAGTAATTTCCCGTGCCAGAAGTAATGCATTATTAACAAAACCGTATAATCAGTAGGCTTAAGTTTGGTGGATGTGGCAATGCTAGAGGATAATTGGAAGGACAGATGATATGTTAACTAAATGTTTCATTTTGCTTAATGAATCATACAGCTTTTTTGCAGTGACAGCTTAAGTAACAGGCTTGAAGACCATTTTGCTTCAGCCCATTAAACTTTGACAAACCAGTTATTAACTGTAGTTACAGACAGCAGTCTATGGAGATTTTTGTAATTATGAACCATACATTTAATTTTTTTAATCGTTAGGCCAGACCGCCTGTGCCTGATGATTGACTGTGGAGTGACTGACAATTTCGACTGCTTTGTGGTATACAAAAACTATAAACATCCATTTGTGGGTAATCATAAGTCATAAAGGCCACTTGTTCCAAGTGTTGATACAAAGCAATAAAAGCCTGTAACTATTACACAGGCTTTACTATTGAAAATAAAGAATATATTCCCCTTCCTTCTCCTTTTAAGGGCAAACAGCTTCTGTGGGCATTATTATGCTAAATAGAAGAAAGCAAGTTGCATCACTCTCAAAGAGGTTGAAAAGTTGTGCTTCTTCAATCTCGAGATCTTTCTCGTGATATTTTTGCTCAAACCATCTGTGCTGGCCCTTACTGGTCTCTCAAAGGGGACACTTTTGGCTGAGCCTGATACACCAACTGTCTCCAAAAGACAATTATCTTCTGTCCTTCTAATGCAGATCCATCACAATCCTTTCAGAGTTGGAGCTACCAGTCAAACATGAAACCCTGTACACAGCCCTGATATAAAAGTGCTTTCCAAGGATTTTTAGTGGCTAAAGACCAAGTGTGGATTTCAAAGTACTTTATTTCAATTTGGGCAGTAGAAAGAGAGACAAATCCTGTATGTGTCCTCATGTCAGAAAGGAATATAAAGACTTGACGAGGTTGTTAAGATAAGCAGACTAAGATCTCAGAAACTCGCCCATGGCATTAGTTATGCCAGCAATATATAAAATTAGACTTCTCCAGCGTTTTTCAAACACAGCAGGCTAGAAAAAAGCTTTTGTAATGCCATCTCAGATGGAAATATAATATCTAAAATGCAATAGGGTTTTGCAGGCAGCTTTTGCTGTACATATTTGTTTGTTGAAAGATAGCTGATGCCTTGGTTGTTAACATCAATGTACTGTCAGACAAGCCTTCTTTCCTCTACAATGCAAAATTTCTTCCCACTTGAGAACCAGTTACCCTGAAAATAGTGAAAGTCTAGGAGCTGTGTCATGACCAAAAACTATATGTGCATTTATATCTGCATATGTTCTGGGAATCTCTATTCTGTTGAATTTTTCATTTTACTGCAGGGAATGAGATGCCCCCAAATTCTGCAGTCATGCTTGCTCCCTTTTGGGAAGTAATTTTCACGCAGTTGTAAATAGGAAATATAGCGAGGCAACAGAGAAAAATAATATATGCCTTATGTGCAATATACATTCCCCGTCAAGGACAAACCATACGGTATTAGGTATTCTAATATAAAATCTGCATATGGGAGGAAATTAAACAGACAATCCATCCTGCTAGCATGAAGACTTTCCTTATATAAGGAAGCGAAAGATACGTCTACATGTCCCTTTGGGAGTCACACCTTGCCAAAGGTTTGAATGAGGCATTTTACAGTATTTTTCAGGTTTCCCTGATTTTCATATGGGTTCTGTTCAGGAGAAACAGGTAAGCTGAAATCAATTAAATGGTTGAAGAAGGATAGAACTATATTGCCAAATGTTTTGGCTCTATTATTTCACATTTCCATTTTTCTGCATTCCCACTCTGATTACAAGATTCCCCAGCTATAACAAATTGGGACAGCTTCCTGCCTGGGAAGTTTAGAGCAACTAGGGTAGTTTAAAGTAATCTTTTAGTTTCTTTGGATTTTCCTTTAGCCCCAAGACATGAATAGAAGAATTTGGTAAAATAATGATATTTGGTTTACCAGTTGAAACAAATGTGGTTTTGGATAACATAAAATGATCTGGGGTTTTGGTGTTTTGGGGTTTTTTTTCTTCCAGAATTTACATGAAACTGAAACTTTCTAAAGTAAAATGACATTCAGCCACACTTTTTCCATCTCTAGCAGGAAAATTAAATCATGCATTACAGATGCAAAGTGACAGATTAGTCCTGCATACAGACCATTTTTCTCTATGCCCTCACCAAAATTGTTGGTTGTTTATCACAGCTCTTCTACTTGATTCCTGTTTTAGTGCTGTTTGTGACAAATAAACAGTTAGGCATGCAGCCATCCAAACCTCAGGAAGAACATGCATATTTTCCTATAACAAGGAGGAAATCAATCTCATAAGCTAAGTCTCTGAGATTTTGTACATAGAGAAAAATACCAGTAATCTGTGAAAAGATAATGGGATCATACTGGAAATGTGATCTTTAATACTGCTTTTTATGAAGAAATCTGATGTTAAAAAATATAGCCTCAGAGGTAACGTATCACTACTCTTACTGTCCTTAGGACTCTCTCTCTGGGACAAAGTAATTTAGCTTAATTCTTTCTGCTAATTCTTACCTTTCATTGCATGAATGAGGTAGAAAATTAAACTATCTTTGAAGAGTTTCAAGTCATGAGTATGATCACTGAAAACTGAGTGTTCCCTTCGATTCACAGCCGAGCAGGTCTCCAGTTTGATCTGGTCGACTCAAAGTTCTGACCAGAGCCGTGATACAGACACGTTTCCCACAGGTGGGCAGATCGCCGGGAGCTTGGCGGTCATCACCGATGCGGCACACATCCTGGTGGACCTGACAAGCTTCCTGATCAGCCTCTTCTCGCTCTGGCTTGCCTCCAGACCTCCCACCAAGCAGTTAACTTACGGGTGGCACCGAGCAGGTAGCAAACATATGAACATGTAGAAAGGGAAAGGGAAGTCATCATCAAAAAAAGCCAGGGACCAAAAACCTGCTGATGTCCAACTTGGGTCTGTAGATATTTAGCGTTAGTACACAAATGCACTCAAAGTCTACAGCACACGTGACAAACAGAGTAAGCCACTGAACTTCAAATGATAAAGCAAACAATGCAATTATTTTTTAAAAAGACAACAATGTAATGTTTGTAGAAAACTGAGATCTTTTAACAATTGCCATTTTCTAAATCCTCTCCCTGCATAACTTTGTCACTGCTGTTTTTTATCAGATGGAAGCACTGGTAGGTTTTTAAAGTTTTCTGTCCTCAGACAAAATCAATATATTTACAGATGACACTTAATACCAGAAGCCTCACAATCAAACACACATGTTTTTACAAAAGACGAGACATCAGCAAAATATTAACTGTAAGAAAAATTTTCTGGGACTATGATTTTGTTCAAAATTTAGTCTCCTAAATATCAATGTCTACATTACATGAGAGCATAGAAGCACAAGTTCCAAGTTTCTGATACATTCAGCAGCAATCTAGACTGAACATAGAAGTCTACTGCTATATCCCTAGGGTGTCTGAGACTTACAAGAATGGTGACTGTCACACAAGACCCACAGGAGACTGCACAGGATGCCAAGCACAAGACCAGAGAATCTAAAATGCTACCAGACACTCATAGTTTAGAAACCAAGATATGTTCCCAGTCAGTTATTGGAGCAGGGATCTATGTGAATCATCATTAATTTAATGTCCACAAAGGGAGCTTAGACACAGCTAACTTCTACATATAGATATTTTAATTTAGTTGTCTCGATCTGGAAATGAATCCCATGATGGATATCTTAGGACTCAATTTTGTTGCTCATGTGGAAGTGATTTGTGCTGTTTAAAACAGCCTAACGTATTCCACAAAGTCTCCAGCTCCCACTCTAGAAGTCTATGGGTCATCTATACATTTGATGTCAAGCCATACATGGAGGTGTCAGGGTATCTCAAGTGGTTCAAAACACCTGAACTGGGGACTCAAATGATGAATGCCTCAAGGATGTTCAATATCAAGGTCCAGGAGCAGCTTCTGTAGGTCAAGGTTACTTGTAGCTGCAGAATGTACCAGGGAAGACATATGCCATACTCACCCTGCTTTTTATATTGCTTTCTAAGTATATTCTACCAACTATGCTAGAAAGAGGCTACTGGATGAAGCGGAGATGTAGCATGACTGAAGCATGGCTGGCGTTATGTAGACAATACGCAGCTGAATTTTGCAGCCTTGGCAAAATACTACTCACCTGCAGTTGTTCCACAATTACTTTTTATGTTTATGCTCTCTTAGCCTGGGAAGAAAAAAAAGTGAAGAGAGGCTTCTCTCTTGCTCGTATAGGCAGGTTCAGCCACATCATGTAACTTCACTCTCAGCCTGTTATATTTTTTAGTTTTTTGTCAGTGTAATGCAGAACTTCAAAACCAATCTTTTGTTGCGTTTTTTTCCTGGTAGCAAAGAGAACCTTGCATCAAGTGTCAGTGGCTATTTGATTGAATTCCATGACAATTATCCTATTTCTTGCTTATTTTCCCAGCTGTATTTCCAGTTTAGTATGCAGGTGGGTGCCCTAATGAAGTAGCTGAGGGCAGTCAGGTGGATGGCACAGTCATTGTGCACTGACAGTCAAGGTCTTGCAGCTGCAGCCTTCCATGATAGTGGAAGCTGCTTTTCACTGCTGCTTTTCTCAGACTGGTAGACAGGGTTTGTCATGCAAAGACTGTGTATGACAGGGCTCAGGTTCCTAAGGGCTATGAAGATGATTAGGGGATTAGAACATCTTTCTTATGAAGAAAGGCTGAGGGACTTGGGGCTTTTTAGTCTGCAGAAGAAAAGATTGAGGGGAGATCTTATAAATGCTTAAAAATACTTGATGGGTGGCTGTCAGGAGGATGGGGTCAGCCTTTCTTCGATGGTGGCCAGTCACAAGACAAGAGGTAACAGGCATGAACTTGAACATAGGAAGTCCCAACTAAACATGAGGAGGAACTTATTTACATTGAGGGTGGCAGAGCACTGGAACAGGCTGCCCAGGGAGGTGGTGGTGTCTCCATCGTTGGAGACATTCAAAACCTGCCTGAATGCCATCCTGTATAACCTGCTCTAGGTGAATCTGCTCTGGCAGGGGGGCTGGACTAGATGTTCTCCAGAAGTCCCTTCCAACCCCTGACATTCTGTGGTTCTGTGATCCTATTAAAAACAGGGTACGTGTTCATATGAGCATCCCTGGACCTCTCCTATGGCAGTGCAATAAAAGGTGACCTTGGGGACTGGATTTGTTTGAGCCCAACTCAGTTAATAGAGACAAAATTAAATTCCACTACCCCAGGGTAAAAAAAACAATTTCTTTTGTCCTCATCACTCCTAGTGGCACCAAAATGGTTTTGTGGCATTGGCAGGATGACTCTCACGAGAGAGGAAGGAGAGTTTTTGCTGGCAGAACTGCACTGGGGGCTGTTACTGCCATTCTGAAGTGTGAAGTGATGAGACGCGTGCAGAAATGAGGGAAGCTATTGGAGAGGGATTACGTCTGCCAGAGGGTTTGGGTGAGCCATGCCTCTTTACTTCCTTCCCACCTCTGCTCCCATGACCAAGATAATCTTGTTGGGGAAGGCTGATTCCTGGGGTCTTCACACTATAATGGCAAGGCTAGGCAACTACACAAGATGTAAAAGAATTGCTCTTTTATCCTTTCTTTCTGTTACAACTCCTTCAGCTCCTCCCCAAACTCCCCAACTGATCCTTTTTGTCTCTCCAGTTTCTCTGAATTAACTCAACACTAGAAAGAGGACAAAAGTAGGAGCAAGTAGAACAGGGTTAGGCCACCACATGCATAGGGCTGCCCTGGGCAGCCACTGGATTTGCTATGTCCAGGAAGGGTTTTGGCTCATTCTTTGCGGCCATCAGGGCTACCAGCGCACCAGAAGTAACTCTCTTGGCTAAAAAGCTCACAAACCTGGAACCATTACCATCAATTTCTTAAAATTTCTTGCATTTGTTATGAGTACTGTTAATATCAGATTGTTGTAATTCCTAGAAATTCTGGGAGCTTTGATGTCTATGATAATCATTTGGATGGTCACTGGTGTGTTGACATATTTGGCTAGCATGAGGCTGCTACACCCTGATTACAACATTGATGCTACAGTGATGCTCATTACCTCTGCCTCTGCCGTGCTCGCCAACATCCTGTAAGTTGCTTTGTTTTCCTCTCCACATAACTTCTGAACCTTGAACCTGCTGTTGTATTTAAATAAAAAAATTATATAGACCTATTGGCCTCAAAAATATGAACTGTCTGTGAGTTTTACAAGGATACAGCAAGGGGTAGAGAAGAGAGATCCTGCTTCTCATTGAAGGTTGCAGTTGCTCTCCTACTTTCTGTTAGCTGCAAAGACTCTACAGAGAAAGAGGCCTCTAATTATGCTGTTCCCAGACTTTCTTGGTTTTATGCAAAACACTGAAATGCCTAGGAGGTGTGTGTTTAGCCACTCTGTTTTTTACTTAATGTGGCTGCTTGTACTGTTCAGACTTCGGAAGTGAGAGGGATGATGATGTGTCTGACATCACTGCTCTCAGACATGGAATAACGCCACTGACATCTGCAGCTTTACATCTCTTGCAGACTAAGCCTCATCCTGCACCAGACTGGCCACGGTCACAGCCATGGGGCACAAGCCAGGGACCATGTGTTGGCCTCTCCTGAAGAGGCAGCTCTGAGCAACGCCAGTCTGCGGGCAGCCTTTGTGCACACCATGGGAGATCTGTTCCAGAGTATTAGTGTGCTAATTAGCGCGCTTATCATCTTCTTTAAGGTTAGTTTTATTAGTTCACTTGCTCTCCTTGCAATTAAGAATAACAATTATTTTCATAGCATTGTGACACCACGTGTTATGTAAACATTTTCTCTGTCTTACTGATATACATTGTGATTTAGTCAAAGACAATTATTCTTGGGAATTGAAATGACTGTTGAGACTATAACACCTGTTTCGGTGTTTCAACTTCAAGGAGGATACATAGTGTCTCTCCTTTTCTTTGTCTGTAGTACCTTTATTCCCTGTGCTGAGGCTCCCTAACTGACAAAGGAGCTCAGCAATCATTCTGTACTAATGAATTGAATATATTACTCTTTGAGATTAACTAAATAAAAATGGCAATAAGCAACAATAATAAAATTAACAAAGTGTTGTGTTCATATTTTTCTAGCCAGAATACAAAATAGCTGACTCAATCTGCACATTTGTGTTTTCCATCTTTGTTTTGGCAACCACTCTCACCATTTTAAGGGACCTTCTAATTGTGTTAATGGAAGGTAGGACCTGATTCCAGAATCAATACAATTATATTTTGTTTTTCTCTCTCTGTTTCTCCATAACACTTGAGCTTGCTGACAAAAGCGTAACAGCACACATCTGTATCAGTTTCTAATATTCTTGTAATTCTGATCATACATTAAACTGAATTACAATTTTAATGAAAACTGATTTCTACCATAGCACTAAAAGATATATACATATGCCAGTTTTTGTAAAGATCTGTGTACCAGTGTTTTGCTAAGGAACTCTCAATGTATTCCTAAAAGTGAGTCGCTTTTGTGTGTTGTATGTCTAACATGGCTTTTTATCACCCCCTTTGGTACATGAGATGTCTATTAATTTGTTCATTGTGTAATCGTTTTACCCATGTGAAATACTAGTCTTTGACAAACGAAAAAAGCAAAGCAAAGAGTATGTTTTGAGCTCTGTCTGTGAAATAGATTGAGTGCAAGAGGCGGAAGTTTGAAAGGATTTTGGTTATGCCAGTCCAGAAAAGCAAACTGATGGAGCTTTCCAGTCACATTCAGGTACAAGGGAATAGATAATTCTCAGCACATCAGCAGCAAGAAGAATTAGGCTTAGTAATATTTAATCCTGTCAGCTATGGGCCTGAACATTTGATTTGCAAGGCCAAATGACTCGAGCAGTCATAGATGCATGTTTTTGGCCTCCTTACACTGAATAATATAATGCAACCTCTTTCTCATCTATGAAGACATAAAGATTAAAGGGAAAAGTAGCTGTAACAGTGCAGGTTTTCAATGGATATAAGCTACTCAGAGTGACTGTCTGCATAGCTATTTTTTTTCTCTGTTTCACTGTGCACCTACTTCTGTTTCAAGAGAGAAATTTTCCAATATTATTTTAAAGTAAAGCTTCATTCTAGGGTTGGTTTGCTTACAGTGATTATGAGATAGAGATACATCTGCGTAGAAGAGTACCAGGACAGAGTACAGCAACCAGTTGTATCTTGGCTGCCAAAGAAATCAAAAAATCTCTTGATTACTAAAAAAAAAATCAAACTGCCAGGAAGCTTGGGCAGCCCCAGATGCTCAGGGGTCTCTTTCTCAGAGCAATGACTTCCAGCTTCCATTAGCAGTCCTGACATGCCAAAACTGGCAATGCTCTGTTGCCCTCTGCAACTGTCCTGCTGGGGTGATCTCAGAAGCACCTCCTAAGTAGCATATTCTGCCCAGGATTTTCTAAAGAGAAATTGGATGTTGGAGCCGGTATTGGAGATTGCTCTTAGCCCATGTATCCAGTCTGTCCCAAAGCGTCAGCCTCACAGCTCCTGTGAGTGACTGTGTCATGCAGGCACTGACTGTACGTGTTTTTCTCTAGAGAGTACGTGCATGTCAGCATCATATTCTACTAAGTCAGTAGTCCATATAGCATATCATTATTGTAATAAATGGATACAACAAAGCATACAGCACTGAGGTCATTAATGATTACAAATTATTATTAGTTATGGCACGAAGGGTGAAATTAATCAATACTATGCTTATAATTATTATACTTCATAACTGTTGGCATTAAAAATATTTTTCAGTTTACTGATCCAAGCGAAGCATGGTGAGAATAGCTGTTCACATGGGCATAGAGGTGCATTTTGAAACTCCCATGTCTCACTCCAGGGAAAATCTGTAGTTAAATTCCTTGGTTAGATTTGGATTTAGATTGAATTTCATGTTGCAACTCACCCTATCACAATTGTCCTCACTCTGAATAAGGGTTATCACTTTCATCATCTTTTGTAAGAAGGTCCATCTAGAAAAACAATCACTGATCTACTCAGTAACTAGACCTTGGATCTGATCTCATCTAAGAATCCTGAGTCGAAACATTTTAATCTTTATGTTAGTCTTTCCCTCCTTGCTAAATAGGTGCTTCTCTGTTGTTTAAATGTATTGAGGACAGAAGCTCTCAGAATTGCTCAGGTGATGCCGTAAAATCAGCACTCACAAAAGCTGCTAGTGAAACACTAGTACATGATTTGGCTAAACAGGTCTCTTCCCTATGGATATTGGACCTTCAGACTATCTGCTAAGACATGAAGGAGTCTCATTCTTCCATGGAGAAGTATAAAACATTTCACAGTGAACTCTGGCTTTCAAAGTGTTGAGTATTTTTATAAAAATCATACATCTACCTGAATAAATGCCCATGATGCATTTTCCACTAATGATCATTATTCTTATCTCTTATAATATTTTTTCCCACCAATTTCTCCTTTTAAGGAACATCAAAAGGATTTGCTTATGATGCAGTGAAAACAAGAATTTTAGCAGTTGAGAAAGTGGAGTCTGTTCACAACCTTCATCTTTGGTCTCTGACAATGAATCAAACTATTCTATCAGCTCATGTTGCCACAGGTCAGTAAATTTCTGTAAAAATGGTGTTAAGTATTCAGCTGCTGCCTAGTAAAGGTCAGTCTCTCCTGCTTGGGATACAACTGACTGTATCTGTTGCTTGCTAAAACAAATGTCATTATTTTGTTGGAAAAATAAAAACAAACAAACAACAAAAGCTCTCAAATCCTCCTTCCCAAAATCTTGCCCAAAACAATAGAAATGTCTACTTAGCCCAGAACTTGAAAACTGCAGAGGTTGTGGAGCAAGGAAGTAAACTACAAGATACTTTAAATAAATTAGAAGAATTAGGTCTAGACTCAGTTTTTCTCACCATAGATTTTCAAGTGGATTTGTCAAACTTGAAAATGTTGATCTCTATAAGAAAAAACTTTCAGGGCAAATCTGCATTCTTGAAGTGTCTCTAGCTGTAAAACAATCTTTGAAGCATGACTTGGAGTGTAGAGGTAAATCCAGAGGAAAAGTTCATCTTCAGAAATACTCTTAAAAATGTAGTCCTTATCCCTGTTGACAAAGTGTCCACTACCCAGCTGAGTTTTCTTGTTTGCCTGTTTGTTTTGTGTATGTTAAGGTTTATTTAAGAAAAAATTGGACCTGTGTTTGGCCAAGAACGGGTTCAGAGGCAAAGCACTCCATGGAGTCACCACTTCCCAAAAAGAGTGGATCTGCCAGCCACCTAAATCCCTTGGCGCTGTTGCTGCTCCCTGACTGGATGATCTAATAGTTAATAAGTAGTCCTGCTTTCCTCCAGTCTTCTGCCAAATGGAATTTCTTTGGTGATTACTCGTAGCTCAGCTCTTGCCAAAATTGCGTATTCCGACCACATTTGAATGAACAAACTTTGCTGACATGCAGTCTCCTGAAAGGAGGATGAAAAAGACAAGAAACACTTCTCAAAAGTTTCTGTCAGCAAACACTTACTCTTCTTTAAAGTATTATGTTATATGCTTTCTGATCATTTTTCTGCTTTCTACATATAGCAAACACAGTGGACAGCCGGGAGATTTTGAGAGATATTACCCAAGCCCTTTTTGAGCACTACAGCTTCCACTCCATCACCATTCAGATTGAATCAGGAGAGGATCAGAAACAAGACTGTATATTCTGTCAAGAGCCCCGGAACTAGAGGGAGCTGTACGCTACGCAAAATAACGACCACCCCTCTTACAGGCCAATGGAGACTATATATGGTTAACAACAAATAGTAACTAACAACAAATAGTAACTAACTGAACTAAAAAGCCCTGCTACTGCAAGCAGTGCACGGGCCTTTATTTATTGGTACCCTCTACCAGGAAACAACATGTATTTGGTTCATCCGTCAGCTAGATTATCTGTCCATCAGCAGTTACTTTCAGTTAGAAGAGAAAGTGCCTAAATTATTCTTGACTAGAACAGCACAGCAGCAGACCAGCCTTAAAGCAACATTTAAGAGTGCCTGTTTGTAATCACAGGTAACAAAGAAACTAATCAGCCTTCAAATTACCACGAGACCAATTACCACAAAGCGCAATGAAATATTGGTGTTAACAAAGCTCAACACTTGCATAGAATAAAAGAGAAAATTTAAATTAGCACAAAGGATGAAGAGACCTTGGAAAGAAAGAGGTGGCATGTGCTTTACCTACCTTTTGGCAGACACCCCTCTTTCTGCATGTTAAGGGAAATGTCACATGTGCACCATATTCTGCAGTGCAGATCACGAGAAGATTCACTCCATTCACATTTCACAGACAGCTCTTTGGGTTTTAGGTAACATTATCTATTTTTCAGCTAGCCCTCAACCACATTCTTTTCTGCCAGACATGGGCCTATTATCAAGACAATCCATAACTTGTATTGCACTGCATCATGATAAGTTGTAATGAAACTTTTATGGTGGATTTTTGAGTGTCTGTGTCACAAGGTGCCATTGGATCCTGACAATAAAATAGACCAGGTGCTCCTAGAAAAGGAAAAAAAAATAGGACAAGAAAAGACTGTGGGCCACTGTGAACATCACATCTAGTGTCCTTCATAGTGTAGTTTGTGGGGTATTACCCAGCAATGCTACATCCCTGAAGCTACATTAGGTAATTAAAAACCCCTTTGGCCATTCACTGTACAGGGTAAAATATACCTCTCCTTCACACAACTAATTCCCAGATTCCTTAACAAGATATGTTAAATCTTTCTCTTCTGCAATGGTTACTGCCAAACTGGGAACAGTTAGGTCTTGCTGCAGTGCCTCTATTTTTTTCCAATCAACAGAATTACACTCTCAACTGTTAGCAGGAACAAGGCTTGTGCTTCAAAACGTGTGCTCAACCGCTTCTCCACAAAACACCTTCAGTTCTGCCCTTGGCCATAACAGTGCTGCTTCACTTTCTGTGCAGAATTAGACTCAACATTTTCCCACTGCACAGTCCTCACCACCACAGCTGCAGGGCTCATTTCATTAACAGGTTTGTTAGAACAGAATAAAGTATGCAATACCGAGTGGTACTGAATTTCCAGGCTGACAGCTGGAAAGAGCATTCTGTTATTAAGGTATAAAGAGGCCTTGCTTTTTAGGGAATTCAGTTTTATTTGCAATAGGTTCACATTAGTTTTCTGCTTTATCATCCTAAGGAGATTAGAATTTATTGTTAGAGCCTTTTGGCTATGGATGATACATAACTATGTGATGATAGATTGATGTATTAAGCTAGCATTTGTTACCTGGTAGGGGGAACAAGAAATTATTCTTCTTTGTGGAGGCATCCCAGAAGATCTTAGTCAGATAAACCTCCCACTGAAATCAGATCATGTATTAAAACACAACACCCACTAAGAATTTCATGAGTATCTCATTATTTACTGGCTTGAAAGAACTGGGAGCGTAGCAGTGCTGTTCAGTACAGTGGTAAAGACAATTCAGTGATAAAGACAATTTCAGCTGTAAAAGCTGAAACTCCAGATGATAAGACACAGATAAATCAAAGCATAGTAAGAAATCTTAAATGAAGAAATGAACTCGTATTTTGGCCAGTTTCTCTGCTGGTATAATTTAGCGATAGTTTCCTCCTATCAAAGGCAACTCAGCTGTGCTTGTTAAGTGACCTGAGCATCCTTTTCATTAGTAGGGGAGGACAGGATAATAGTGTGGCCCTCATATTAAAAAAAAAAAAACACTTTCAAAATGTTTTGAATAAGATGAGGACACAGACCTGGATATAACAGGAAATTTTGGGGAACAGTTTTATGGTTAAGGACAACGTAAAAGATAGTGAGGGGGTGACACAAGCATCCATACAGGACACAAATTCAGTTCTGAGATTTAGGCTAAGGTGGAGATAAAGACCAGAAGTTTAAGAGCAAGTCTTGATCCACAGTAATCCCAGTGATCCATCAAATCCTCAGAATGGTAGCCTGGGTATATAAGTAGTAAAGATCAAGGCAAGAATGCAGAGGAAGAGGAGAAGTTTGGGTTTGTTAGCAGCAGTAGAACTTATATTTCAAGTGAAAGAATGTAATCATTTATCTTTAGGAAAAAACAGAGACAGTGCAATAGTCTCTACTTGCTGTCTACTCTAGCAGACTGTAGTAGTAGAAGTAACACAACAGCTTATGAAAACCTAAGGAAATTTTACCTAAATATGATAGATTGGAGATAAATTTAGAGCAAATATTTACCTGCAGTTATGAATATTGCTAGAAGAAGTTGAATCTTTAGTGTTCCCACTACATCTATGAGTGTAAAATGTGTATTTGTTCTTCATCCCTGTGTAGTCTGATCCTCAGGGATATTATCTTAGTACAAGGTTGTTTTCAGAATACTGTCTAGCTGAGGAGAATTTGTGCAGAAATGCTACTGGGATATATGGAGGCCAGGGCTGAGAAATTCAGAGACAATTTCTAGGCTTCTCTGTTTTTATTAACTTCACAACCTTTTGATTGTCTGCAGAATTACTATAAGAAAATTGACCCAAAATTGCTATCTCTAAGACATTCTTTGAATTTTTGTAAAACAGAAAAGTATTTGTCATATAAGTGGTCTCTTTTCCATGTCTGACAATTTTTTGGTAGGGTTCAGTTCATATGGGCAAGTACAGGGCTGTATTGCCTAGTATTGAAATTTTATGTTCATAAGTATATTCATCTTCTTCTAAATTTTAATGTAGTCATTTTGCAGCTTGTAAATTATAGCATTCTCTTTTTCACTTTCCACAATCAAAATCTAACATATTGAGGTGAGCCTGAGGATAAGGAGCTTGCAGAAGCTCAAGACTTTTTGGAATAGAAAACATGAAACGGAAAAACACAAAGCTAAACTTTCCTCATTCAGTACTGACAAAAGGCCAATCTTATGCTGAGATAGCCATCAAACAATGCTAAAAGTATTTATAATCATTCAAACTGGAAACAGTTAAGGCACAGATCTGTCATTTGCATCACTGGAATAGGCTCTTACTGTAACTATGATCGTAAACATTATCCAGTGTTCTTCTGTCTGAAATGTGACGATGAGAGTTGCATATGCAATCAAGGGTTATACCGCTCATTTAGTCATCATGACAGGAATTTGTCATCTCCAGAGGAAGGACAAAGAAGATGTTGCAGTCCTGTCCATGGCAGCAAATAGTGGCCTAAGCAACAAGGACCATGTAGGTCAGCAATTTCATTCTTATCAATGTGAAGAGATTGCATCAAACAATTTTGGCTCTAAGCATTTTCTCCTGTGTTGTAAAAGCTAGCATGCTCCAACATACCCTCTTCAATGCCTTTCCCTCAGCAAAAGCAGATGTGCTCTCCTTCCTTTTCCATCTCCTTCCCCTATTGTCCCCTTCTAGTCTCTGCTTTCCTATTTTCCCCCACTTTTCTTTTTCTTTCAGCAATGCTTCAACTGACTGCCTATTCAAATTTCAGTGCCAGAATGATATTTATCATATATCCTTTCTGCTTACAGCTCTCCTATTCCTCTTTGACTTATGTGGTCAAATAAAAGTTCCTCATAAAGAAACTTCTTTTTCCTCCATGTTTGTTGAAAACATGGTATAATGAAACATTTTTTTTTTCACTCTATTATAAGCACAATAATAACAGACACTCAATAAAAATAAAGAACAGCCATTCCAGACATCATACATTTGCCTGTTTCAAGCACTGCTATATATTTGCTTTGTATTAAATTTATTTAGAACTTTCACAATCAAAAAATTATTTGAGCTGGCTTCAGCTTACTGTGCTCTTTCATGTTCTGAAGCCTGCTGATAATCTCTTTCAGCTAAGAAAAATAAAATCCTTTCCCACTTGAGAACTCACAGTTTCAGCAAGACAGGAGTTAGAGACGTCCAGTTGCTTAATGCCTCCTTCAACTTCTCTCTGTTTGGACTTTGTGTCAGACAGTCAGTGTGTAACAAGAATGCAGTGCAGCAGAGAAAGCTTTGGAGAGCAGCCTGGTGAGAACAGTGAGTGGAATGGAAACATAGCAGCTGGGTTTTTTACATGGTTACTAGCACACATTCAGAATTTTCTATCCCAGGTATTGATAAGAAACATGTCTAAGTTTCACTACAAGGGGTTTGCCTTTTGGTTTTTAAAGGAAAAGAATGAAAAGAGATGAATGAACGGAAGTTCAGTGGATTGTGAAACATTCCTGGTGGCGTCAGAGGCATTTTGCTCCATGGCTTGCACTCTTCTCTAACAGCAGATCTTTGTAGCTTTGTCTCTCAAACTGCACTGCCACATGCTCTGCCATGATGTGCTGTCTCTCTGCAGAAACTGCCACAGCATGCAATGAAAGGTGTCCAGCTGTGACACAGGCCATATGACTCCTTGCATGCTATAAGCTTCTCAGCTCTGGGGACTCTTCCTGAATTGCGTGGGCAGAACAATCACCCAGCCTTTGGTGAAGCACTGACTTCTTTTTTCCTGCTGTGTGGTTATATTATGTACTAATTTTCCTCTTGGAGACTGAAGCTGACTGGAACAGGTTGTGTAGCTTCTGTCTAAATGAGAAAAAGCAGGAATTCATTAATCATGGCACAACCTGCTAATCCATAAAGAGGTACAAGGCACTCTGGGTTAGCTCCTGGTCTAGGCGGTAACTCTGATGTCAAAATGCTTGGAACCAGCACGCTTCCCAGCAGCAGTGTGCAACCTGGG